TCATACATACTTAATAGGCTTCCTATTTGACAAATTCAGTGTTTCCCTCTACTTCTATCAGCTCTTTGTCGTACTGGGTAATCTAAACTTTAAAAATAACTTCTTCTAGTTTTCTTCATAGAAATGAATATAATGCTGATATGTAGGCCTACTCTGTATATTTCTGAAGTTTTCTTACCCCCCTAAAATCAAGAAGGCCCCTTTTAGGGTTAGGAACCACTGGCACAGGGCACAGATACTCAACTTACTTAGGGTGGGAGGGTTACTTTAAAAATGTAATCAGCAAAGTAATTTTCAAAATTTCAAAAGTACTTTCACCATCAGAGATTTGATACTTTTGGTACGATTTGGTGCCCCCATTTGCAATACCACTGTGGTAAATATGGACAGCTGTGCACATGCATTTGTTATGATTATATTATATAAGACACAGCAAGCCAGCTAATATTACTGACTAGTCCAACAGCAAGAAAGCCAGCTCGCCGCCTCTCTCGCCAACGACTAAAAGCCAGTTCCAGATTCATTCTTGTCTGGTGGACTCAATTGCTCTCTCCTTTTCTTCTCTTAGTCTTCCACTGTTCTTGACGTGCTCCGTTAGCAAAGTTACATACGGTAATACAAGAACAGGCGTACGGGTGCACAGTGGGAATGACAGAGGCACCATTCACCCTGTTACAACTCAATGTAGCATCAAAATGATTTTGAAGCTGTTATTTTAGGCTAGAAAAGTTACATATTGTTGCTTTAGGCTCTATTAGTATGTGTAGTCCAACATGCAACTTCTCAAGGAACAGCCCAGGGACATTTACTAACTGGTATAAACAAACAGAAAAATTCTCGGTGTGAATAAATTTATTTTCATTGTGAATTAGAAAATGGTCATTGGGCCACCCGGCAGAAGTTGAGTATCACTGGCCTAAGGTATCTCTCTTTCTTTCAGCATTTACTCTATATTTACTTCACTGTTCTTTTTTATACATGTGATTCACTGCTGGCTATTAGGGCCCAAAATGGATCATGGGACTGACTGTTTCCTACAATAAAGAAGTACTCAGCTGTACGTATAAACAGAGACAGGGCGGGAGCTCAAAGGGCGCAAGCAGCATAGTACAGCATTCTGCAGTTTGCCAACAACTATTTTCTGGAACTGTGTTAGTTTGCTCACTACAGCGTACAAAGGGGGAACTCTCTGATGTGGAAATTGGACTGGTGTGGTCACACTGTTTTCCCATTAACAGACTGTAGTTTGTACCAACTGTAGACACAGCATCTCGACTGACACTATTAAACTCAGTTCATATCAACATGCTGTAGTATTTAATTGCATACAGTCATATCTCTGAGCTATTTAAATAAACCCACCAGACCACAAGACTGGTGTCCTGTTCCATCTGAGGGCAAAGTAGAGTTAGCCGGATGCTAGTTTTGGCTTAACTGACTTTTTGTTTAACAGGAAGTATTTTTAAAATCAATATGACTTTACTGTCAAGCTACCGTTATTGTAGCATCTCCTGCTGATATTGTTGCTGTTCAAAGTTAAGACTTTTTCCCAGAACAACACTGCTTCCTCTTACAACAACAATGTTGCAGTTGACCCTCTTCTTCCTTCCTGATGTTAGACAATTGTTTTTAAAGAGCAAAAAGCTTTAGCCTAGCTAGGCTAGCAGCTAGTGATTTCAGCTAGCAGCTAATATGCATTCTGACCTTTTAACGGATAAGAATAATAATAATAATAATAATAGTATGAGGAACTTATCCACAGTCAGTGTATTCAGTGTGAGCAGACAGGCGTACCAGCACGAAAGCTAAGCAACGTACTGCTGTGGCCGGGGGCAGCAGCAAAATATATTTTAGCCACCTAAAAAAAGTGTTTTTTAACGCTTTACCTTCTTGTCAGACAGCCCTTTCCAGTGAGAAAATAAAGCATTCCTATTGGCCTGCACTCTCTTTAAAGCCACCGGACCTCATTGAAAAGACCCAGTAATTTTACCTGGCAGAACACAGGAGTAGCTTGTACACCAGTGCCTCGATCAGTAAGTTAGTTTGTGTTACTGTGTGACTTTGGTGCTTTGACACGTTAGTTTGATGCCAAACTAACAGTAGTTGCTGTGGATTGAGGCAGCGGTAGCCCAGCAACTCTTGTGTGCTGCGAGGTAAAATTACATTTTTTGTCAAAGTAGTCTGGTGGATTTGGAGGGAGTGCTTCAGTTTTTACTGAATAGCAACTATGGATAAGCACCTCATACAACCGCACTTCAATACATCTGAGTTAATACTTTAACAAGGTCTCAATTAACTATGTGTCACTTGTGAGAATTATGACCAACTCTCTCCTCAGGTCTACCGAGTGTTTTATCCTCTTTTAGTTCACTGTTTTGGTTTTACTCACTGCTTTCATCAGTGTTGTTTCAAACAGCAGAAGGCAGATGTTTACAGTGAAACAGCTCTGAACCCACTGAACACTGCAGCACCAAAGTTACAGGTAAACTTAGCCATTAGCTGGTGAACATAGTGGAGCTTTTAGCAGCTACAGCAGTATCTCAGACAACATAAAACTCACCAAAACCAACTTTTTTTGTCTTTCTACATTCTTTTCAACAATTACCAAGTCTGGTTTGGTCAAAATAAAGCCTTAATTTACCAACGTAGATGATAAAAACAGCTGTTTCAGTTACTGTACTCAGCTGCACACAGAGCAGATCGGCTATGGAAACCACAGAGAGACTGCAACAGCAACAGAGGCAGAGGGAGTGTGAAGTCATTCTTACTCAGGACACCATGACTCCACTATATCTTTACGTAGCTAATAGCTGTAAGTACGTAAGTAGGAACCAATAGGCTAGGGGCTGAGTACCACAGGGGTAGGGAAGTAGTGAGAGACAGGAAAAATAAAGAATAACACCAGCTTTATCCTTTAAGCACTACAACAATAGGATTTCAGTGCAAACCAATCTGGCAGATTCCTTAAAGAAACAGATGGCTCCTTATTATTCACAGTAATGAAACACATCATGTGCCACTAGCTGCATGCAGTACACAGGGTAAACTTTAACTCCAGTCAGTGTGTCTGCAGTCACAGAATATGAGTCAAGTACTGGTGACCAGATGCTTGTTTCAGGAAGCCAACTGAAGCACAGACAAGATGTAAACAAATCCTCTGCACGTTATTTCCATCCCTGACCTTTACTCTTTTTTTCTTTACAGTCACACAAGCCCTCTGACGGGAGCACTTGACACTACATCCATCCCCTCTATTGCCTCCATCCCTCCATCTTCTTCCATCTCTCCACCTTCCCTGCCCTCCTCCCACCCTCCGGCCCGGCCATGTCGCCCCAAACCGCCGCCTCCTACGGCGAAGCCCTCCCAGCTCCCCTCTTGTCCTCCTCTACCGCCGTCCACTCCTCCATCCCTCCCTCCTCCTCTCCCTCCTGTCTCCAAAGCTCCCCTCCCTCAGTCTTCCAATCCTCCCTCTGTTCCTCCCCCTCTCTCCTTCAACCCTCCTCCCCCATCCCTTCCTCCTCCTCTCTCCCCTACTCCAGCCTCTCCTTCTCCCCTGCTTGCTCTCCAACCAACTGTCTCCTCTGATCCTACCCCTTCTTTTACTCCTCTTCCTCCTCCATTATCTCCGACAATCTCACACTCCTCCTCCTCATCACTTCCTCCACCACCTTCCCCTGTCGTCCCACCATCCTCTCCAACTCCTCCATTGCTGAATCCTATAGATCAGCTGGTTGGGAGCGCTTCGGTATGGCAGCCCAAAGGACTCAGCCAAGACCAGACCACAAGTTTAATGGAAAAAGAGACGGCTGGGGTAAGACACACGAAATAACTATGAAATTTGATTAAAAAATACAAGGAAAACGCAGACAGACACATTCTGAAACATCTATTTGTTGTGTTTATGAGCAGTTATTGATTTGCAGAACTGGTCCATTTAAAGAAATAGTTCAACATTCTGGGAAATCCATTATTTGCTTTCTTTCCGAGCGTTAAATGAGAAGATCAATACCAATCTCATGTCTGTGGGTTAAGTGTCACAGTATCTACAGCCTGTGTAGTGTGAGCAGCCCTTTAGCAGCAGCGGCTTCAGCACTCTGTCTAGGTCTGCGTAAGATGCATTCAGGCACAGTATTGAGTGTTGGTCACAAACATTTTGGGAGCACTCAAAGCCCAACACACAAACAGTAAAACAGAGGAAAGTAGATTGGGGGCGGGGGGACACATACTTCTGGTTGCAGTAATGTGTAAAGTAAACAGCTGGGTCAGTGAATCTGCTCTGTCAGAAGCACGTGAGACAGACTGAAGAACACGGCTGAAACACCTTTTACAGAACTGTAAAAACAACTTGTGGTTTTAGGACAAGTTATGTTGTCTAACCACTGATTTTGTGACAGTGAGGTTGCCAGGCAACCAGCAACTGTTGGATTTAGTTTAGTTTTGTGTGTATGTAGCACGTGGGAGAAGTCTGCCTTCAGGGCTTTTTGCCAGAAATGTTTTCTGGAGAGAGCAGTGCAGCATGGATATATAGTCAAACCCAGGACTTCACCCAGAGACTGCTGTCCATGTCCTGTGTGGAACAAAAAGTCAATGTTGACCATGATCCTTATCTAAACCTGACCAAGTACTTTTGGTGCCTAAACCTAACCAAAGTGCAACTTTTTCAGCATGCTAACCACATGTTAGGTTACCGCCAGAGAGCAAAACTTCTCCCATGCACATGCACATGCACATACTGTATTTCAAAACCTTATTTTACTGTACATGTTCTTCATGCTGACCTCAAAGTTGTAACCGCTCATGTTGACATTTGCAGGTGTTCCTGGTTCACAGCAAAGAGGACATGGGCATGACACTGTCAGTACGCCTGCCCGATGAACAGGGGGAGCCACTTGTACAGAACCTGATGGTCAAACAACACAAGACATGTAGGCTACGTGTTACACATAGTGCAAAATGCAAGATTTGCGTGGCTGAGCACAGATAACACGGCAGAGCAGTTAGTGATTCATTGTTCAACTGTTTTGTGTCTCAGTTGTCCACTTAGATGGTTCCTATCTGGTTTTTGATGACATCTTCAAACTGATCTCTTTCTACTGTGTCAGCAGGTAACACAGACACTCATGTGCACATAAACATATATGTGTTCATACATACAGTATGCAAATACATAAAAACAGAAAGAAAAATGCTGTCACACCATGTAAATACATAATACAATACATGAGTGTTCATACAAACATACAGACATAAGCACATTACCACTGTATATAAACTACATGCATATTTACACATATTATATTATAATATGTGTAAATATGATATAATATAATATATATTATAGTACAGATTACACCATGCAAATAATGCACAAACAGAACCACAAACAATGTAAGACTGTGTTATCATATTATTAACGCTCCCTGCTTACACTTCATGCTGGCTTTTTCTATTTGAATCCACCAATCAGGGACATCCTGGCCATCCCACTGAGGTTACCTCAGGCCATTACCACGGCAACTAAGAGAGAGGAACTGGAGGTCATCTCTGCTATGGGTACAGGTAGATAAATCTGCATCATTAAGTGCATTGAAGTTGGGTCAATGCTGTAGCAAAGAGCAGGATACCGCAATAAAAGATAGAAGATAATATGAATTGCATCAATAACACTATTAGCAGAAAGGTTTCAAAGAAAATATATATGAAGGACAGCATGTCTGAAAACATACAGACACAGAATGAATGTACACTTGGAACACAAGATGGAAAGTATCAGAGGCAAGAGACAAACAATGTGAAATATTTAACAAAAGAGACAACAGCATGAATAGCTAGCACATACAGTATATATGATGTGTAATGTATACCACTCTCTTCTGTTAAATCTGAAGCTACAGCCAGGAGATGATTAGCTTAGCTTAGCATAAACACTAAAAGCATGGGGTAACTAGCTAGAGTGGCTCTGTCCTAAGGTAATAAAATCCACCTACCAGCACCTCTAACCACTCACTAACGAACACCATATATCTATATATATAAAGTGTAAATGTGTGGTTTGTGGGGGGTTATGTGCAGGACTATTTCTCAGCCCACTGTAGTGACTTCCCCTGGTCTCCACAGTTAGCCTGGCAACCTCACAATGACAACAATACTCCAGGAAGTCTCTGCACCGGGTCAGAGGGGTTTCAGAAAGGAGATGGTTAACTGAAGAGTCATTTCAGTCTCTCTTTTAATTATTAGAATTTGATCCATTCAGTTAGCAGGAATTAAAGGGGAACTTGGCAACTTTTTCAGCTTAATAAACCCGTTTAGAAATCATTTGGATGG